ATGAGATGTCTATTGTCCTTATTTTATACAGGAGGGAACAGGCTTAGAGAGGTCAGGGAAATTACCCACCATAAGTGACACAGCTGAATTAAAAATATATCTGGCCCTGGGTGGGTGGCTCTGCTGGTTAGAGCATCATCCCTTTTACCAAAAGGCTGTAGGTTCGATTCCTGGTCTGGGCATATTCCTAGGTTTTGGGTTGGATCCCAGGTTGGGACGCGCACCAAAGGCAACCAGTAGATGTTTCTCTTTCACGTCAACGTTTGTTTCTCTCTCTCTCTCTCTCAAATCAATAAAAACGTATCTTTGGGTGAGGATTTAAAAAAACACTAAAACAAATATCACTTTGATGAAATGCTCGTTGCAAATATGTTGTTTGACTGATCGGTGAGTCCTTAGGGATGCTCGCTGAGTTCAGGAAACAAAAGGCTTCTGTCATGGAAGACTGTCATGTGCGTGTGCGCGCACACACACTGGCGGCTGGGCTGGCAGCCTTGTTGTAGCGGAATCACCGAGTGTATTTTTGTCTTTTTTTTTTAATCTTTCTGGGGACGATGTGTGGATGAAATAGGTCACAGAGGCTCAAGCCTGGATGTGCCTGAAAGCCCCCGAGGAGCTTTAGAAAGTGTGTCAGGCAACGGGCCCTGGATGAAGCTCATTGCCAGGGGTCAACGAGTGGTCGTCCGTGGTGCTATATCAACCGTCTTGAAAGTCCATTAAGACTGCGGGGCAGATCCCGCCTTTCCCCAGAGACTCAGCCTCCTGTTGGTTCCCTTCCCAGGCCCTGCACTTTTTCTGGCTGCCCACGTGTTTGTTATTGTGGTGGTTAATTTTATGTGTCAACTTGATTGGGCCCTCATGCCCAGTTATTTGGTCAAATGTTATTCTGGATGTTTCTGAGGTTCTCTGTGCGTGTGTGCGCGCGCGCGCACTGCAGGGTAGACCTTCCTTTCCTTCCTTTCTTTCTCTTTTTCCTTCCTTCCTTCGTTCTTTCTTTCTACACGTTTTCATCTTATTTTTTCCCTGGTTTATTGACATATTTTTGGCCAATTACACTGTGTGAGTTTGAGGTGTACAATGGGATGGCTTGATACACATACCGTGTACCAAAATGAATTACCAAGGTTGATTCATTCCTGATCACCTCACATAGTTACCTTTTTTCGTGGTAAGAGCATTTACGATCTCCTCTCCTAGTACTTTTCAAATATATAAAACAGTCCTGTTAGCTGCAGTCACCGTGCGGTGCCCCAGATCCCCGTCAGATCCCGCGAGCTTACTCATGGTCCAGCCGGACGCGTGCTCCCCTCGACCAACGCCGCCCGTCCCCCGCAACCCCTCGGCCTCTGCTAACCACCATTCTACTCTCGGCTTCTATGAGTTTAGCTTTTTCATAATTTTTATTTTTGTAAATCCTTACCCAAGGATATGTGTATTGATTTGAGGGGGGGGGGCGGGGAGAGAGGCAGAGAAACATCGATGTGAGAGAGAAACATCAGTCAGTTGCCTCTCGTACATGCCCTGACTGGGGATCGAACCTGCAACCTTCTGGTGCATGGAACAACGCTCCAACCATCTGAGCCACCGGGCCAGGGTGAGCTTAGCTGTTTTGGAATCTCCATACAAGTGAGATCATCCTGTATTTGTCTTTCTGTCTGGCTTAAAACCACAACCAAAAAAATTTATTCCCCGACCAGTCTGTATATCCCTCTTTCTTTCTCTATATCTGTCACTACATCTGCCTATTTTTCCCACAACAGCACTCGCGGGTGGAACGCTAACACAGAGACTTTGGGAAGGTGGGTAGTAGAGAAGGAGAGTGATACTGGCTTTCCCAGAGTGACCGGAGCACCCTGGGTTCCGCCCCAGGTTAGCTCTTGGCAGGGTGAACGCCGCTGCCCTCTGCGCTGTGTTTGGCGGCATCTCTATATGACCTGGTGTGAACAGAGGCCAAAAACCAGCCAGACCACAGTCAGGGGTCTTAACTACAAACACCCAAAGCGGACTGTGGCTAATTTTGACAGACTAGCAGCTTATTGGAAGGTGTATTAGGAGGAGCTTGTGACTCCTGCCAACTTCAGACCTTAAGAAAATAAACATTGGGCCCCGGCCAGGTGGCTTAGTTGGTTGGCGTGTCATCCGTGTGCCAAAAGGCTGAGGGTTCGATTCCTGGTCGGCACATAGCTAGGTTGCACTGCGTATGGGAGGCAACCAATTGATGTTTCTCTCTCTCACTTCTCTCTCTCCACCTCCCACCCTTACTGTCTAAATCAATAAATACATCCTTGAGTAAAGACTAGGGAAAAAAACTCCTAAAACTTACAAAAAGTGAACAGACTATTATAAGTATCTGAATAGCTGACAATCTGAAAATTAATTTAGGGTTATCGGTTTTAATTTTAAAATATCTATTTGCCCTATGAGGGGCAATGATGGGAAGGGCAAAAGAGAGGAGGGAACACGCCCTCCGCACACCCTGGAAAAAGTGAGAAATAAATTGACATTCACAGAAGACCCCAGCAGGCCCTTCTAATGGGAGCTACAGAGTCTCGGACTGGTTGCTCCATTTTAATATCTTCTACCACAAAAGGGCGGACGGTAAACCGAGTCTGCAAGTTCGCTATGAGGATTCTGTGAAAACGCAAATGTAATCCAGCAGCTGGCCACACCGCCTACCATTTAATACATTTTCCATAAATAATCTTTAAAAAAAGACAGAGAAGGAGAGATCCCTTGGTTGCACAGGTGTGGGGGGAAGGGGGAAGTGAGGATTCTCTGAATCTTCAACGCCGGGAGAGGCGCCCTAAGTGAGATGCCAGTCACTGCGGGGAACCTTTCCTGGACAGCAGCCAAGAGGCCACTGGTTTCTCGGCGTGAAGGTTGCTCCTGGGGCATGTTTTGTGCGCTTGCAGGGGCTTTCAGAGAAGACATGAACAGGAACAGTAAGTGAGGTGAAGAACAGGCTGCAAGGGGTAAGGTCAAGACACCCAGTTTTTGCTTTGGTGACCCCGTGAGGACCCATAGCACGTTCATGTTTGTACAAGATAATGGAAAACAGCCAGGCTGCTGTTTTGGTGAACCCCGAGAAGCTCTGCACTGTGAAGCAATAATTCTCTGTTCTCTCCTCCTCCCAGCCCCCGGTAACCTCTCATCCCCTGTCTGTCTCTAAGAATTTTCCTGTAAAAATGGAATTATACAATATGTGGTCTTTTGTGTCTGCCTTATTTCACTTAGTATAATGATTTCAAGGTTCATCGATGTGGTAGAATGTATCAATCTCATTGCTTTTTCTTTTAATTGATTTTTTCTCTTTTTCTTTCTTTCTTTCTTTTTTTTTTTAAGAGAGAGAGAGAGATCAACTGGTTGCCTCCTCCTGTACGTGCTCCCACTGGGGATCGAATCCACAACCTAGGTATGTGCCCTGGCAGGAAAGCAAACCTGCCACCTTTTGGTGTATGGGATGGTGCTCCAGCCAACTGAGCACCCAGACAGGGCTCAACTTTGTTGCTTTTTAAGGCTGAATAATATTGCATTGTATGGCTCTACCACATTTTATTCATTCATTCATCTGTTGATGGACACTTGGGTTGTCTCCTCCTTTGTCTATTGTGAACAGCGCTGCAAAAAAAATTGATGTAGAAATGTTTGTTCAAGTCCCCAACTTTCAATCCATTTGAGTATGTGCCTAGAAGCAGAATTTCTGGGTCATGTGGTAACGCTGTTTAGCTTCTTACTTTTATCACCATTAAAAAAAAAAAAGACTATTTATTTATTTCTAGAGAAAGGGGAAGGGAGAGAGAAAGAGAGGGAGAGAAGGAACAATGTGTGGTTGCCTCTCACGCCCCCTACTGGGGACCTGGCCTGCAACCCAGGCATGTGTCCTGACTGGGAATCGAACCAGCCACCCTTTGGTTCGCAGGCTGACACTCAGTCTACTGAGGCACACCAGCCAGGGCTTTATCACCATTTTATATCATAAAAGTCTTAAAGCTATATAACTCTTTGAAAATTAGTCAATCCCCTCCAAAAAAGGAAATTAGTTAATCCACTTGACTCATAGTTTCTGAAAATGGTGACAATTTCACCTCGTGTGGTTGTTATAAAGATTCATAGTAACAGCCTTGACTGGGGTGGCTCAGTTGGCTGGCTGTTGTTCTGCAAAGCGAAATGTCGCTGGTTCGATTCCCAGTCAGGGCACATGCCTGGGCTGCGGGTTCGGTCTGGTCAGGGTGCAGCCAGTGTTTCTCTCTCACATCATTGTTTCTCTCCTCTTTCTCCCTCCCTTCCCCTCTCTCTAAAAATAAATAACTAACATCTTTTTAAAAAGATTAATAATGCATGTAGCATAGCATCTATTTTAATTGTTCAATAAACTGTCTTTGTGAAGACATAAAACTCGCTTATTTCCGCAATGGTTCCAGAAAACTATGACCCACCGTGAGGTAACCTGCCAGGCACCAGCTCCCTTTGGCCTCATCACCCCGGTTCATGAGACGCTCTGATCCTCATTCTAACGCGTGACCACGTCAGCACTTATATTCCTACCTCAGGTCCCGCCTCAGTTAAAAATAAGTGTATTTTTTTCTGTTTTAAAAGTAATTCTTAATCATGATAATGCATTTTATAACAGACTTTATTTTCTGCAATTTTAGGTTCACAACAATATTGAGCAGGAGACAGAGCTCCCATATACCTGCTGACCCCACACAGAAGCACAGTCTTTCCCGTGACCAACGTCCCCCGCCAGACTGGGACATTTGCTATAATTGATGACAATGACACCTCACGATCACCCCCAGTCCATACACCATTTTTTTAAGGGTCTAATTTTCTCCACAGTTAGCAAGTAGGAGTGCTGGGGCTTGAAACTCCATAGCCAAAATCAAAGCCCGAATCAGTTACAGCCAATCACCTTCAAAGCCTATCTCCTGCTTTCCCCATAAAAAAACTGTGTATTCTTTCCTATAAGAATGATTCAACCTCTTCAGCCCTGCCCCCAAGAAATCTCCTCACGAACCACAATATTTCCAAACCTTTTCCTTGTTATAATTCTGAGTCAGCGAACACCATTTTTTCCCAAACGCGTCCGAGTCTTCCGTACATTCCCAGTAGATCGTGCGTCTGTACCAGAAGGGAAACACACATTTTGCCACGTCTACAGAGAAGAAAGAAGCAAGCAGAGGGAGATGTCTTTCTTTCTCGTGCTCCCTCTTCAGCATCTCGCATGCACACCGCCATTTCCCACTGTGCTCTATTCCACCAAAAGCATATGGCCAGAGTGCTGGTGGGGAACTGCGCTTCTGCTACAAGATTTTTCTTTTCTTTTTAATTTCTTTTTGAAATCTGATTTTTAAAAGATTTTATTATTTATTTTTAGAAAGGGGAAGGGAAAGAGAGAGACACAAACACCCATGCGCGGTTGCCTCTCGCGCGCCCCCTACTGGGGACCGGGCCCGCAACCCAGGCTCGTGCCCTGACTGGGACTCCAACCCGCGACCCTTTGCTTCTCAGGCCGGCGCTCCATCCGCAGAGCCACACCAGCCAGGGCTAAAACGTTTCTTTGCAAGGTGATGTGGAGGAAACACTCATTATATATCTTTGGTGCGATGTGATGATGTTCATAGCTGCCCATAGCTTATTTTCGCAGTTTCATGTGCCAGAACCTCCGGAGGAGCTCGGCGAACCCCGGCTCGGGCTCGGGTGCCCAGGGCGACCACCCGGAGGGCTTCAGGGGGCGACACTCACCGTCTGCCGAGCAGTACTTCCAGTAGCCTTTGAAAGTCGCAGTCAAGGAGCACCACTTGTGTTTGGACTCGAACATGATGCAGTCGTAGAACACGCCTTTGTTATAGCGGAATGGGAAGAAACACTTGCCATCTGGGGAAAAACAAATCCTTTCTGCAGCTCCGGGGCTGTCGGAGCAGACGTTACACAGCTCCCCTCCCCCTGAGGTGGCCGCCCTCTGACACCGGAGCCGCCACGGCCTGGGTTCTCCTCCGTGCTCCGAGTCCCCCGGGGGACAGCCGGGGGGGCTCCGCCCTCAAAGGCTTGGTGCTGAGACTCCCATTCCTGTCCCCCTGGTTCCCATGCCAGGGACAGCCTGGGCCTTTCGCTGAGCATCTGGCCCCTGTTCCAGAAATCTCCCCTCAGCTTAGAAACACGAATGTGGGCGTTTATCTGTTCAACAATTTCTGCCTGTATTTCTTAATACCCCTTCCATCATCCTACACGCCCCCCGCCCCCATGGCTCACAGACGCACGTGCGCACGGATGCACAGAGTGCAGGCAGCCCGGTTTGCATCCTTCCCCATCTTTCTCCACGCCCAGGTGGACATCTCTATCCATCCATCCACCTCTCTGTGTAGATAGATACATCTCTCCATCCATACAGCTTATATTAACCATGCAACATCTATAACCATACATAATAGACGTATATATACCTACATACACAGATTTCTGTTCTCTCCCCAAGTGAATCATACTTTATATCAATAACTTCAGTTTATAACTTAACATACCATAGGAATCCTTTTCAACATACACTTTTAACTTTTGTAGCTCTCTCTCCTTTTTAATGCTGAGTTGTATTGTGTGATCCGGGTTTTGCCACAATGCATTCAATATTTCTCATATTTAGAATTTTTTTCCATCTGTAAATATAACTGAAGCAAACACTCGGCATATGTAAATCCTTCTGCACCGAAGCATTTGGTTCTATAGACTCGAGTCCCCAGTGCAAGGTTACTGGGTTAAAGTGTATGTGACTTTTTAGCATTGATGGGTGCTGCTTTCTCTAGGAACAAGAGCAATTCATCTTTCCCACCAATATGTGCTTTTACCTGAATTTTCGCCAGCAGCAACCATCACACACATTTTAAATGTTACTTTTATAACAGATGATTCTTGTTCTGCTTCAAAAGCTCTCCTGGTCCTTAGGGCATACTTGCATTTCCTACATTTCTTCTTAAACTAAGTGATTTTGTTTCTTTCACATTTAAAATGTGATCAAAGAGGAACTTAGTTTTCTGTCTGATGCAAGAGGGGAATACAACTTAATTTCCTTTCCAGTAGATATTAAGTAAACGTAAATTGCTGACAAAATAAACCATCTGTACATTTAAACATCCATATGTTTACAACTGTGATTAGATTCTAGTACCATATCCTGGGATCCATTTTTTGTTTTCCATTAAATCTATTGCAATTATTGGAGAAGTAAGAGAGACGGTGGTAAAAAGACCAGGGTCAGCAACCACGCACACATCAGAAAATATCACTTATTGTTATTTGACTCTCTCTAGGCTGATACCACGCTATTTAATATGCTATATTTATGGTTGGTTTAAATAGTGCTTCTGTACTCAGCACTATTTTTGTTCATAATTTTCCCAATTACTATTGGACTTTTTTTCTATGACCTTTCACATTAAGTACTCCCCCTGTCAGATGGCAGAGATGAAAGCGCAGAAACACACAGCACCACTGAAATTCAAGAGGACTTCTGTCGGTTTTCTTTACCTGTTTACAAGGTACTTCTATTACATTTTGTGAAAGGAGAAAAAAGGATATTTTTATTGTGTTACTAAAAAAAGAAAATGCACTGATTGAGTTCCTCATTTTTACAACAGGAAAAGAAAACGTACTTTAGCAGTAAAAGTTTTATTATGAACTTACTTTTGTCTTCTGGAAAGTACATAATAATTTCTGAAAAACAAAATTTGAAGGGGACATTTATTTCACTATTCTTATGTTTTCCAACCAAGAAGATGACATGATCTTGTGTCTTTTAGAACTTACTGTTTGTTCTTCAGTATGATTGTATTGGTTACTTCATGTAAGGCCTGCACACTTCTTGTGGATTTAACTCCAAAGTGGTTTTTGTCGTGGATGTCAAGAGAAATCCTTCACTTTTCATCAATGTGTAGTAGGTTCTTATCAGCAGAGAGAAAAACTATTGACTGTGTATGTTTGTCTTATGATCAGCCACATAGTCAATTCTTTCATTAAAACTAGTTATTGTCCTGGCTGGGTGGTTCAGTGGGTTAGAGGGTTGTCCATACACCAAAAGTTTGCAGGTTGGATTTTTTGGTCAGGACACATACCTAGGTTTCAGGTTCAGTCCCCAGTTGGGGTGTGTACGGAGGCAACCAATCAATGTTTCCCTCTCTCTGTCTCTCTCTCTCTCTCTGTCTCTCTCAAATCAATAAACATATTCTCAAGTGAGGATTTGAAAAAAAAATAGTAATCTTTACTAGTGTTCTTAGGCATTTTTAAGTTTACAATCATAAAGTAATTTTCTCTGATACTTTCTGTAGGCCTATGGATTGTTTCCTTTTGCATATATTAGAACACCCCCCCCCCCACGCCCCAGTAATGTTAACCTGTACTGGTCAAAATAGATACCTCTGACCTCTGTACTTCTCTGGTTTAAGAGGTTAAGAATGTTCATTTTGGCATAGTTAATAATAGTAAAAGAAATACAAATCAATCCAAAAATATCCATCACCAAGAAATTTTAAAATAACATATAGGCCCTGGATGGCATGGCTCAGTGGATTGAGTACCAGCCTGTGAACCAAAGGGTCACTGGTTAGATTCCCAGTCAGGGCACCTGCCTGTGCTGTGGGCCAGGTCCCCAGTAGGGGGCGCACAAGAAGCAACCATACATTGATGCTTCTCTCTTTCTCTTTCTCCCTCCCTTCCCCTCTGTCTAAAAATCAATAAATAAAATCTTTAAGAAATAATAATCATTTTAAAAATAAAATAAAACAGAGCTTTATAATATCATAAGGTATTAATAACGAGATATGAATGAATATGGACATTTCTGTACTTCATCTGTAGGTGACAAAAGACATTTTCTATTTCATTATGTTCTATAAGACTACATTTTGCAAAAAGAAAATCCCATTATAAAGTTGTATATAATGAAATATTTGATCACTCAAAAATAGTAACAGTAAAATTTACAGCAACATTATAAGTGCTCTCTTCTTTTTCCATAAATATTTTTAACATAGAAGGTACTTTTTCTTATATACAAGGACATAAAAATAGCAGTGTTTCATGAAAAATATGATTTTTTACCAGGAAAAGAAGTATGGTATTCAACAACTTCACATTTTACTACAAAATTGAAAAACAAACTGTAATAAAAGAGTTTTGATCAACTCACCTTCATTTGATATATCACCTGAAAGACAGAATTTTAAACATTTATTTCACTAGATTTAGCCTTTGAAATACAATAAAAATAAAACATTTTACCAAATTATATTCTAGTAAGAATAATAATGTTTTAAAGGTGATGCATCCAAATTTCATTAGTGTTTATTTTTAATAGTGTGATTGTGGGTGATTTCTAATTTTTCCTTTTGCCTTAACTGTATTTTCCAAATATTGTTCTTGAACAGGAACAATTAAAATTATTTTAAAAACAAAAAAATTCAGGAAGCAAAAGTAAGTCATTTACTTTTTCCACAATTTCCCCCAAAATTTACCACATTGTAATATGGAAAATGTGTTTTATCATTTCACCATTCTTTTCTATTTTGTTTTATTTTATTTCTTTTTAGTATTATCCAAAAGGTACAAGTTGAACAAAAGTTTATTTATGTGTCTCTGACCTTTACAAGGAGATAGAATTAGTTTTAGCACCTGTTTAAAAAAAGCCTTTGCCATTCACCTCTCCACAGGTTTGTTGTGAGGATTCAGTGAGACCGTAATTCCGGGTTCGGCATAGTACACAGCACATAGAAAGTGCTTAGCGTAGGGCAACGATCCTATTACAATGATAAGGATTTCTGTTCTTACAACAATCATCATTCTTTTCTCCCTACCAGATGACTCACTCAAGTGTGCAATACATTTTCACACCATAGACAACTTATTTCCACTAAAAATTGCTTCAGAATTCCAGTTTAGGAGACTTTAATATCCAGCGAATTCTGAAGTTGCAGGGAATCTTAAGTACTAAGGCCTTGTGCATTGTTCACAGATCTCCAAACACTCTTCTTTAAGATTACAACACGGGCAGGAGCTCAATGTGTGTGCATTTGCTACTTATTCTCAAAAGTAAGCCAGGAAGCACTTCCCTGACTAGGGTGGCTCAGGTGGTTGGAGCGTCATCCTGTAACCGAAAGGTCAGAGGTTCGATTCCCAGTCAGGACACACGCCTGCATTTTGTGGGTTTGTTCCTCTCCCAGCGAGTACAGGAGGCGACCAACCGATGCGTCTCTCTCACATCAATGTTTCTCTCTCTCCCTTCCTGTTTCTCTAAAAAGCAGTGAAAATATTCTTGGGTGAAGATTAAAAATAATAATAATAAAATGTAATGAAAGGAGATGATACATGGTTATCAAGTAAATGACTTCTGTCAATTGAATTTACCAGTTGACATTCCTAATCTCTCTTTTTTATTAGTTGAATCTTTAAAAAAAAAAAAAAGCCTATCAGTGGATCGCGTCTGTTACCTGGAAATACCTGAAAAATATAGAGAGTATCTTTCTCTTTCTTAAACCCCTATGAAACTAGCGTGACTCTTCCCCTCCACAGTATCTCAGACTTGATGACAGAGGCAGTAGACGTGCCCAACCCCAGACCCTGCCACAGCTCCTCACCTTCGAGGGAATTGGTGGCCATGCTGAGAAGCCAGCAGACCCGAAGCAGCAGGATCCCTGCGCGCAGCCCCATGCTCCGCCTTCGGGGCCGGTGCCAGCGCCTCCTCGGGGCTTTATAGCCACGACCACGCCTCCTCCTGTCCCCTCCTCCCGCCTTCTTCCACTTCCCTCTTCTTCCAACCGCCCCCCTTTTCTCCATTGTCCCCAGCGCCTCATTCTCCTTTACCTACTTTTAAGTTTGTGTGTTTTTTTTTTAAAGATTTAGAGAGATGGGAGGGGACGAGGAGATAGGAAAGAAACATCCATGCTAGAGACAGTTGCTTGCCTTTACGTGCCCCTGTGCCCTGCCTGGGAATTGAACTGGAGACCTTTAGGTTCGCAGGCCGGCACTCAACCCACTGAGCCACACCAGCCAGGACAGCCTCTACCTACAACTTATGCCCTTTCTTCTCTTCTCATTCCTCCTCGTCCATCTCCCTCTCCTTCTCCCTGCCCCTCCTCCTTCCCTCTTTCGCCTCTTCATTTTCCTTCTTTTTCACCTTTCCTCCCTCCCTCTCTCTGCCCCAAAGCTAAACACCCACTTCGTGTCGGAAGAGATGGGGCGGCGGAGGGCGCGGGGAAAACAAACTTAGGGTAACTGGCATTACATATAGACGAGGATTAGAAGAGTCCTTACGCGGAATTTCAGGTTGTTGCCAAGACAATGACCTTCAAGGGTCACAACAGCAGTCGAGGGTTTTTCTGTGTCTTAGACCTTCCCAGTGTCTGAAAGCCGGGGCCGAAGTCCCACGGAGAGGCTCCGAGAGGCAGCCGGACCGCAGCGGCCCCGTGCGCGCTCGCGGACCCTCAGCGTGGAGAGCGGGGTGCTCAGGCCGCCCTCGGAGATTCGCCTCGGAGGCTGAGCGTGGCTTTGCAGTTCTCAGGGGCAAGTGATGCAGCGTTTCCGCTCACCGGCGTTCCCCACCTCCGCAGTGTAAGATAAACTGTGGAGTCTGAAACATACTCTCTTCTGTTCTTAAATTTTTTGAAGTTGACAGCATGTCTATCATTTTGTCTCCGTCATTTTTATCCGTAAGACAAGAATTTCCTTTGGAAAAATAACAAAGGAATTGCTATTACAACCATCAAAATGTCAACAATGGTCCAATCAGAGGGGCTCACCTGCAGGACGGCTGCCCTTGCGCACTAGCTCTTTCTCTTTAGTAAACCGACCTCTGGGAAAACCGAGCAATTGGGATAGTTGGTGACTTCACTTATTTCAGACATTTCTGTGTGCGTGTGCTGCTTCCTACACTCGTGAGAAAGTTTGTCCCTAAATCTTGGACGTACAGATGTGTCCATGGACAATGCAATTGGCCTTTGGGAATTCCTGGCAGCATCTCAGCGTTCATCTCCTAAGACCCGCTTGAACTTCTGTGACCAGCAAGGGCTGGTTGCCCTGCACGCACAGAAACCGACGCCGTGGTGCCGGCGTTTGGGAGAAGACAAGTCTTCTATTGCAAAATCCACCAATCAGGAGAGAGGAGGCAAAACTCAAACATGTGTTCTCCAGGGAGCGTGTTGGGTCAATGAAAGGAAGAAAAGGGGAGTTTCCGCGCGTTGTAACAGAACAAGAGCTTAGTGTGCAGGCGCCAGGGGATCACGGCTTTCCTTGCGAGCAGTGTTTGCACTGGGCGGGGTTGGCGGCAGCACATTAGTCCCCGGTGCTTGCATGGATTTTGACCAGTGCCATAGAAGGGTTATTCTCGGGTGAATTCTTTCTTTTTTAAATAATAAAAGTCCATTTCCTTATTATAGTAAGCAGTATTCGTTCCTTCTATTTTATTTTTCAATTACAGTTGACATTCAATATTAGTGTCAGGTGTCCAGCACAGTGGTAAGACATTTGTATAATTTGCGAAGGGTTCCCCCCACAAGTGCAGCACCCACCTAGCACCCTGCATAACTATTACGATATTATTCACTGTGTTCCCCACGCTGCACTTTACATCCCTGTGATGATTTTGTAACTGTCAATTTGTATTTCTTAATCCCTTCTCTTTTCTCACTGAGCCCCCCAAACTCCCTCCCGTCTGACAACCATCAGTCTGTTTGCTGTGTTTATGTTTCTGATTCGCTAGTTTATGTTGTTCATTAGATCCCACGTGGAAGTGAAATAATAGGGTATTTGTCTTTCTCTCTCTGACTTATTTCACTTAGCCTAATACCCTCCAGGTATTCATCCATGCTGTCACAAAGAGTCCAATTTCATTCTTTTTCATGGCCTAGTAATATTCCATTATACATATGTACCACACTTTCTTTGTCCCATCGTCTATGGATGGATGTTTAAGTTGCTTCCTTATCATGGCTCTTGTAAATAATACTGCAGTGAACACGGGCACAGATAGTTTTTCAAATTAGTGTTCAGTGCGCAGCATTTTGACTGTCTGACCACTTGATCTGTGACCTTGTTCTGCTATCAGCAAGGACCTGGCATGAAATACTTCCATTCTCAGAGCACTGAGTTTGGCACTTCTTCAACCTTTTTGTACACAAACTACTCAGTGTCAGCCTGTCTGTCTGTGGTGACCCAGTGAGCCCTGGCTGGGACACCCCGGTCCCCACCTGTGTGGTTCAGGCAGCCTTGGAACATAATAGCTGTTTTCCCTGCTTGTTGGAATATCTTTCACCAAAACAGGACAAGGCAGGTCTGGAATATATTCTACAACATAACAGTTGGTCCTTGGCTCATGATTTTTTTGCCGTTATGGTCAGTGCTTTATGAGCACAAAACCAGAGCGTGTTCCACTTGCAATTCCTAAATCACCATCTTTGCTCCCCATCCGTCAGAATGGTAAGGCACGTCACCAATTTCCTGTTCCGCAAATATTTCCTTAATCGGGTTCGCTTTGTTTTTAGCCACAGGAGAGCCAAGAATCCCTTAGAAAGCAAATGAAGCAGAAGAGGGTTAAATTTCTCACTCACTTATCTGCTATTTTTGATTTCTCGTCTTCATGTTATGCAGAACCATTACTTCTGCATGCGTGTGCATTGATAGGCGGGCGAAGAATGAGCACATCTAACGGGGTCACTAAACTTTTTGTATGCACAGTAGAATATAATTCAGAGGGAAGTTTTTCGAATCCCATTTTTTTTTCTGGGATATTTCATCTAGGATTTGTTTGCACAAATCTCAATAGTCTTCAATCACTAAAGCCTTTTGCCTATACATAACAATCCCTGAAAAATTGTTTAAATTCTTAGCTGTCATAGAGTCACAGGAATGCTTTTCTTGACATATTTTTTGTAAAATCTGCTGTTTTGAGGTTTGATGAATGAGAAGACATGGCTTAGTGTATTCCTTTTTTCTCCATGACATTTTTCTTTTTCTCATGCTCTTTATATTCTTGATGATACCTAGAAGAAAAAGAGGCTTTGCATGGAAAATGTGAAGAGTGGAAAAATTATGATTATATTTTAACTTATGCTCACCATATTGGAAGAATTCTAAAATGGGATTTAAAAAAAATCCATGGCCTAAATGGAATAAATGTATTCCTAAAGATTCTGTTTAGCAACAGGAGTCTGGAATACCAAATAACTATATAGATATGGGTATATATAGAGGTAAACACTTAATCCCTATTATCCTGCCTTGTTTATTATTTAAATCATACCAATATTTTATCTTAAAGGGGTATAATGTTCTCCTGAAAGTTGACTAGTTGATTAACTTTCACAATTTTCATATAAATTATTGACATATTTCCTTATTCTATACACCTGAAAGTTCTTCATAACTTATTTCATATAGCTTTCACAATAGCATCGATTATTGCTGCATGTTACATGAACCAATTAGGTATATCATCTTACTGACATACTTCCTGCATATAAAGTGTATAAGATTTACTTGTCAATGTATCAAGAATACAGGCTTGTATATATTTTTAAAGATTTTATTTATTTATTTTCAGAGAGAGGGGAAAGGAGGAAGAAAGAGAGGGAGAGAAACACCAATGTGTGGTTGCCTCTTGAGCGCCCCCTACTGGGGACCTGGCCCACAACCCAGGCCTGTGCCCTGACTGGGGATCCAACTGGTGACCCTTTGGTTCGCAGGCTGGTGCTCAGTCCACTGAGCCACACCAGCCAGGGCAGAACACAGACTCATATTTAAAGGTGAATATTAACCTAATAAAATGAATTGCAAACATGCCTTGTTAGTGTTACTGAGGTTATGCATATTAAAAATGGAAACAGCCCACATACACTGAAAGGTTATATATCAAAGCAGTTGGGGATTCCAGGAAAGATGCTGAAGGAGGCAATTGGACTGTCTGGCCAAAGTCAAGGTCACAAGACATTCAAGGCAGAATGAGACAGAGTGAGGCTGGACAAAACTTAGAGACAGAGAAAGAGATATAAAGAAGCAGGAGAAAGAAGGAAGACGCAGATGGTACAGGAGAGACAGAGAAAGAAGCAAAGGCAGAGATAGACAGAGACCAAGAAAATGGGGGCCAAGAGGCTGCCACACGAGAAAATTCAACCTCAAAACCTCCGACTCTACAAACGCCCAAGCCTGTGAAGTGATAACATGGCACCAAAGGGGCAATAAAATGAGACCCCAAACGTATTGCTTCAAGTCCCACTGTGCCCACCAATTGGCTGTATGACTTTTGACAAGTCCCTCTGCACGTCTGTGCCTCCACGTCCTCGTCTGTAAATCAAAGGGTCCTATTTGGGCTCAGGGGCACCGCTGGGTAAATAAATCTCCGCGGTGACCACCCTGAACGATACCAAGAGGGGCCGTAGGGACGCTTCAGGAAATTTTCCAGAAGGGTGGGACAGAATTCCAACATTAGGAAAAATCAGATGGCGTGATTCAGAGAGCTGGTTTTGATTCTCCCATGCTCCCTTGTTGCTAGAAAATCCTCAGGCTCGTGCACGTTCATCATGCAGCTGAAACCTGTTTTCATCTTTGCAGCGGACGTGGAGGACGCTTTCTCTCTGCTCAGCAACATTCTCGCCCATGACTCCGGCCCCCGCAGGAGCCCATAATACACGCATGGTTGAACTTCGTGGGCCTCGTGG